TGGTTTTCCCTCCTCCTGCGTTTCTCCTCCTCTTTAGGAAAAAAAAGATACCAGAGGAAAAAGGATTAGTGGGTAATTGTGGAGTTCTCTGACTCAAAGGGATAATTAAATGGCAAAGATTAACACAGTGGTACTTTTGAGGGGGATTTTGTGCTGCATGTTTGGTTTCCCCTGAAGGACTGGGTTCCCATGGTCCTGGTGCACCAAACCCACTAAAATCCCACCAAATATCACTCTAGGCTAAAATGAGACGCTCTCTTGCCTGGCCCCATTGAGACAGAGTCAAATAAAGCCACAGGATCCTTGTTGCTAAAAATCAAACTGCAGAATGACTACAAGTCACTTTGTATACAACATGGCTCCACAGTGGAAAATATTGGGAGTAATCCCAGTGTCCCTGGTAAATCCCACAGCACATTATTGTTTCCAGGTGAGCTCTGATCTCCTGGCACCGTCACCACAACTCCAGCAATGCTTCCACTACCTCAATAAATACCTGCATTTGCAGAGAATGGGAGATAGCACAGAACACAAATACACTGCAAATCCATCTGCCTTAACCAAATTCCCTGGATTTTCTCCCATACAACTCACCTCATGTTTCAGAGGGTTTGATAACTTGCCCACATTAAGGATCTGTATCCAAGGGGGATTCCTATGCTGGATGTGCTTTCCCACACTTATTGTACTACAGCCACACTGAAGCAATGACACATGGAAAGGGATGTTTTACTTCAACCATTTGCCATCAAATATTTTTTCTAGTCTCACAACACTTATTTTTTCTGCATCACACAGGCAAATTTACAATTCTGTGGGCTGGAAAGGGCTGTCACAGCACAGTTCAATGTCAGCTGCTGGCCAGTGTTTGAGTTGTTCAAATGACAACAAATATCTCCTCCTCTTTCCAGTCACATGTGAGCGTTCCCAATATATAATTTAACACTTGCTCTTGATATACAATTTAACAGCAACAGCACCATGGCACACATAAATACCCTTTCACACCCAGAAATAAATTCATTCTGTGCCACTGGGCTCTAATGCACCGGTGCTGCAGCTCAGATTTGATTTATTTGCAAATTCATAACAAATGTCCTGACACCAGCATTTATCACCGGTCACCAATTAGGCCCTACGCACGCTGCAACAAAACCCAGGGACAAACATATGACCCAGGCAGCTGCTAAAAAAAGTCCTCTGTCCTTCAGAGGCACAGCCTCATTTTTCACTGCTTCCCAGCCCTGCTCCACTCTGAACAGGAAAGGCTTGTTCCTAAATAGAAACAATGCAGCTTGGCAGAGAAGTCATCATTTCAGAGGGCCGTGACAAGCGCAGGCTCCGTGTCCAGCCCATCCGCTTTGTTCTCTCCTGCCATCCCCTCACCAAGTGTTATCTGCCGCATCCAGCTTTGTTAGCACTCAGGAATTCATCCCAAGGCTGCAGGATGACATCCACGACGGTCTTATTAGGGAAAACTAAAATATATTATAAGAGTTAAGTCTGCACAACATCCTGGAAAGCTGAGCAGGTTCTAAATAAAAAGATTTTACAGAGAAAAGAAACTACTTAAGGAAAGGGAATGCTGACAGGAAAGGTCCACCTGTGGTTGTGCAAGTTCCTCAGGGATGTCAGAGTCAGCTCCTGCTAGAGCACTTTCCTCTATTTCATTTGAGACCAAGTGGAGGCCCATAACCTGCTCTAAACACACACAGTCAGGGGTGTGACCACAAAAACATCACCCAGGGGAAAGCTGCCCATGAGACATCCTGACACGACTTCTCCCATTTCCAGGAATTAGACATTTCTAGGACCTTTAACCTGCAGCTGAATGATTTCAGGAGAGAACCTCATTTCTAGAAAGTTGCAAGGCAACAGCAAGCTTTCCTCTAGTCTCATTTAATCAAGTACAAGCCCATCTATTTCTCAGCTGCGGTGAGGCGTGACTGTCTGTGCAGCACAACATCCCCCTGCACCACAAGCACCCCACAGCACTCAGGAACCAGTCCCAGGGACTGATGTGACACTTGCAAGCAGCAGCTGTGGGAATACTTCCAGCTCCTGAGTCTCCACCAAGCAATGATTTGCCATTAACCCCAAATGTGAACTCTCTGATTAAAATCTTTGCAAGGGCTGCGGTGACAGTTTGAAGAGTTCTGTGCAATAATTACAGCACAGACAAGTGTTCCCCTGGAGACTCAGGGCAGCAGTCCCCTCCCAGAGCCAGGCTGTCCATTAATCACAGGAGGAGAGGCACGGAGCACAGCGTGCTGCTGGGTACTGATGGGAACAGCTACAGCACTGCCAGGTGCCTGCCCAGCCATCCCCTGGCCTCACACACCAATTCCACACCCCAGTCCTTCCCAGGACTCTGAGAGCTGCACTCACCCCCCACTGAACCCTCCATCCCAGTTAGCATCAAGGAAAAACCACTGCTCTGGCCATAGGGACACTGCAGTGACACCAGCCAGGCTGTCAGCAGCAGCTGACCTCTGGCTTCAAAAGCAAAAAATCCAAAAGGATTCCATTATTAAGCACAATGAAGCAAAAGCCAAGTAATCACACCATCTGATGATACCCAGGTAAAGGTTTAGAAAATAAATGACAAAGTTATATTACAGTCTGTAATGACATTAAGTGCCTCCCAACTTGCAGTACAAAGTTCTGGAGGGATGGCAGGGAGCTGGATGATTTTATGGGTCCTTCCAACCCAAGCCACTCTGTGACTGACAGGTTAAAACTCATTTTCAAAAGATTCTTTACATGCCTGGGGCTTAGGAGAGTAAAACATGGGAAAAAAAACAGCATCTAAAAAGACTGATTTTAAAAAAGAAAAACCAAGAAAAATTAGTAACACTGCTAAGAGCTCTTTAAGGAATTTATATCTAAATTCTGTGACTCACTAAAAGCAGGGGTATCTCCATTTGACGGTAAGTGAAATATAAGCAAATAAAACCAAATCCAGCTTAAATAACTGGGTTTAGTTAATACAAATTTATTAAGCCAAAATGCTGTACAACAAAACCTCCAAAAAAACCCCAAGTAATATTACTGTCCCCCTTCACAAAGGGGCTTGCCAAGGCAAACAGCAGTGGGGAGACTTGCACAGGAAGCAGAGTGGCCCACAAAGAGTCACTTCCATGATCTTTCATCCCCTGAGTAGATATTAGGGGAAATTCCTTCTTGTGAGGGTGGGCAGGCCCTGCACAGATGCCCAGAGCAGCTGTGGCTGCCCTGGATCCCTGGCAGTGCCCAAGGCCAGGCTGGACAGGGCTGGGAGCAGCCTGGGACAGTGGGAGGTGTCCCTGCCATGGCAGGGTGGAACTGGATGGGCTTTAAGGTCCTTCCAACCCAAACCACTCCAGGATTTCTATCTGTTATTTCCAGTCCATCACCTAAACCAAAACACTCCTTCCAGCTTGTCCCTAGCCCCAGGTTTGTACAGGGGGAAGGTGCAAGTACAGAGAAACAGGAAGGAGGATTTTCCTCCCTGTGTTTCAATAAATCCCAGAATTTCTGGTACACACACATACCATCCTCCTCCTGTGGAGATTTCTTCTTGAATCCTCCATTCTTCTGGCTACTCCCCTGAGAGCTGGATGTAGCAAACCAGGCAGTGCTACCTGCAGGCAAGCACAGGTCAGAGGTTGTTTTGATGGCACAAGGGAAATAATTTGGAGGAATTTCTCTAGCACTGAACCATGGACACAATTCCCAAGGCACAGCCATTGCTAACACTGGTGAGGGCAGTTAGGAACAGCCTCACACTTGGGATTGGAAATGTTCATTCAAGGAAATATAGGTAATGGAATTAAATCATGCTGGGGAATACTCCAATAAAAGCCCAAAAAGGCTACAAACCAAAGTCTAACGATCCAGTACTCCTTTAATCCCCCGAGTTGCTCATGGGAAGGTGCCACTGTTCATTCCTGGCACCAAACACAACCCTGGATCCCTGCAAACACCCCCAGCTCCCACATCCAGGAACAGAACCTTTGCTGCACCTTCAGGAAGGCAGGGGGAAGGCGAGGAAAGGTCAATTCTCTTATGAAATCAGACCTTTCCCCTTCCTGCTCCTCAGGACTCACCCAGGAGATTCCAAAGTCTGACTGGATCCCGGATTATGATTTGTTTTGTCAGGACTCCGCCGAGACCTTGATGTGGTAGGGAAAGTGTTGGTGCCAGGAGGCTCTGAGGAAGGAGAGAAAGAAAAACAGGACAACAATTGGAACAGCAATGTGGCTGCTGAAGGTTTGTGTGCCTTTCTGAGGCTCGAATTCCTGAGCAGGGAAATGCTGCGGGTGAGTGTCAGGACGGCAGCTGGGAGCCCTGCATGGGATCCCTGGTTGGGCACCTCCCACCTGACCTGGGAAATGTTTATAACCCGGAGCAAAGAAAGCACAAGTAGAAACAGACAACCTATCTTCAAAACACTTCATAGTTCATCTTTTTCCTCTCTGTGTCTGTTGTTTTGTTTTTTTGTTTGTTTTTTTTTGTTTTGTTTTGGGTTTTTTTTTTGTTGGTTTTTTTTTTTTTTTGGTTTTTTTTTTTGTTTTGTTTTTTTTTTTGTTCTAAAGGCATGTTGGAAAGCAGTTCTAAGAATGCAAAGCCAGTTAGTGTCCAAGGCTAGGCTGGACAGAGCTTGGAGCAACCTGGGCTAGTGGAAGGTGTCCCTGCCCATGGCAGGGGGTAAGAATAAAATCCCTTCCCACACAAATCATTCCATTATTTCCACATTGTTTCCCAAGTCAGTGCCCAACAGCGCTGACAGGACGGACCTTCGGGACGGCACAACCACAGGTCCCTCCCGAGCACCCCGAACGCCCCTCTCCCCCGTTCTTCTCCTCCCCCGGTGCCCGGTGAGGCCCCGCCACCGCCCCGTTACCTGCAGGCCGCGAACCCCGCCGAGGGCAGAGCCGCGGGGCCGGGCCCAGGCGGCGGCGGGCGGCCGCCAGAAGGCGCAGCGGCCGCGGAGCAGCCCCATCCGCAGCAGCAGCGCCATGTCCGCCGCTCCCGCTCCTCGGAGGCCTCAGAGGCCGCGGCGGCGGGACGAGCCCGGGCCGGGCCGCGGCGGCTCCGCCGTTACCAGAACCGCGGCCTCGGCAGGGCCGGAAGCGGCCGCTGAGGGCCGAGCGGCCATCTTGGAAGCGGGGGCGCGCTCCGCGCTGCCAGGCCTTAAGATGGCGGCGGCGGCGCGCGGGGGCTGCCGGGAAGGGTCGCGCCGTTCCCGCGGTAACGGGAGGGGGGGCACGGTCTGAGGGGCCGCGGACGGCCTGAGGGCCCGGCCCCTCCCGCCGCTCCTCCGGCGGGCTCTGCTCTGCAGGCGAGCCTCAAACAAGGGCCAGCCCGCTCACGTCTCATTGAACAGACGGTTCTCCACCAGCCCCGGATTTCTCCGGGCTCCAGCGGGGCCAGGGCCCGGCCTTGGCCTGGGCCCAAGTTATTTAGGCAGGAGAACAAACGGCTGGGAGGGGCGAGAGGGTCCCTGCAAGGTTAGCAGGAGGCTGCAGCCACCTCTGGGGAGGCCTGATACTGGAGTCTGGTGGTGTGAGCACACAACCGTCCCGGCTCTGGGATTTTATCCCTCCTAATCCCATGTAATTGTAATGCCTGGGAAAAGAAGGAACAACCTCTGCAGTGTTAGCTTCAGCAGCGAGGAAAGAGAGCAGCTCCCTCCCTGTGCAGCTGTTGCTGAGGAAGGTTTCCCCTCTGACAGCCCGAGGTAGGAGTGAGCTCTGGTAGAAAACAGCCTGGGTGTCTGCGATGGGAGTGAGGGACTGAACTGTGCTCTGAGGAAAGGGAGTGAACAAATACATAGAAATTGATGTTTACTTTGAGGGTGGTGAGGCCCTGGCACAGGTTGCCCAGAGAAGCTGTGGCTGCCCCATCCCTGGCACATTAATGTCCCCTCACTCCTGGAAATCTCTCTGTGTCACTGATTGGATCAAACAGTTCAATTTACACGCACACAGCTCGGTGCCAGTTAGTACATGAAGGCTGTTCAGAGGGGATGTGGCAGCTGGGGGCACCTCCACCCACAGATCCCACATGGAATGCCCAGGGAGGCTGCACTGACTCCCAGCTGGAAGATCCAGGCCTGGATGTGACCAAGCTGTGCTGAACTGGGAGTACTGGTTATTTACAGACACAGCACAGAGCTGGAGTTGACACAATTTCTAACCCTTTTTTCACACTGTGCTTCAAAGGCAACCAGATGACAGAGCACCAGGAAAGCTGGACAGAGCAGCTGTGGCTGCCCCTGGATCCCTGGCAGTGCCCAAGGCCAGGCTGGGTGGGGCTTGGAGCACCCTGGGACAGTGGAAGGTGTCCCTGCCCATGAACAGAATGGGCTTTAAGGTCCTTTTCCACCCAAACCATTCCATGACTCCACAAAGGAGGGCTGGGGGTCTTTGCCTCGCTGGTGCCAACACAAAGTGGTGCCCGAAGCGGAGTCAGGAGGTTCTGCCCTGCGTGGGCAGCCCAGGCTGTCCCCTCTGTGCGTGCCAGAGGTGACCTTGGGAAAGGTGGCCTCAGTCACTGCCCTTGGACTGGCAATATGCTCCTTTGGGAGTAAGCCAATATTCTGAGAGGCCAGATATAACCTGATCCAGGCTTGGCCTTGCTGGGATGTGCTCCAACCATGACATCACCCAGTAATGCCACGTCTATTTACTACCGGGGAAAGGTGCTGGATTGGAGGCTGAAATCCCAGCTTTATCTCCTGAGCAGGTTAGGAGCAGGAAGCAGCATTAGCAGCCGCAGCTTGTTCTTTTCAGGCCAAGAGAAGTCAGTTTCCATGGGAAACACAGCTCTGCTCTGTCTGACAATTCACCTCTCCTGTTCCCAGGCTCCCTGTAAGACCCTCCTGCCCTCTGGGGCTCAGGAAGTTCCTCAGCCCCCCCAGCCCATCCCTGACTCATTTCCACGCAGCACCTTGCCAGGGGGGTAAATGGATACCTGGAATCTGGTGGCCACTGCACCACCACAGACTTCTCCTCAATGAATCAAGGATTACATGGAGAGCTGAAGCTGCTGGAAGGTAAATTCAGCCCTTTCACAGGGTGCAATTTCCCTCCAGCAGCTGAGCCAGGGCTTTGCTGAGGCAGGACAAACCACCCAGCTCCGAGGCCCCGGAGCTTCCCGGCATGCCCCAGCACTGTGTGTCTCTGTCATGCACCAGATGGGATTTTTTTGATTACTTCTTGGCAGATGACAAATCAAGGTCAAGGGATAGATGCTCCCCTTCAGCACAGCAAGGCCAAGAGCTTTAGGGTTTTCAGCAACAAAGGATGTGCTTAAAAGACCACACGGTTTTCCCTGGAGCACAGTAAAACTCCTCACCAGGAAAGAGCTGCTCAGCCTTTTTCCATGAGCCAGTCCAAGCCCATCACACCTTTTCACTCCTCCAGGAACAGCTTGGGATCACAGCGAGTTCCAGTTCCATGGGCACTGACACTGCCCCTCCCTGGGGCACAGAGCCTCCCCAGCCCCAGGGCCAGCCTGGGACACGGCCCTGGGGTACAAATCCATCTCGGGGTCACCTCTAGAGCCCTGGCAGTGTAAGACAGGCAGGTGACAGATGGCTGGAGGCAGGGGATCACGGGGACTCGGCCACCCCACAGCAGCCACCGCTCCGTCTGCCAGCCAGCCGGGGCTTAGGAACCTCTGGGAAAGCCAACACGGTGAGAGGGAGCAGCACTCGGAGAGGGGCAGGGAGAGGGGCAGAGCAGGAGAGGGGCAGAGCAGGAGAGGGGCAGAGCAGGGTGAGGGGCAGGACAGGGAGAGGGGCAGAGCAGGGAGAGGGGCAGAGCAGGGTGAGGGGCAGAGCAGAGCAAAGGGGCAGGGTGAGGGGCAGAGCAGGGTGAGGGGCAGGACAGGGAGAGGGGCAGAGCAGGGAGAGGGGCAGAGCAGGGAGAGGGGCAGAGCAGAGCAAAGGGCAGAGCAGGGGGAGGGAGGTGGCTGTCGGTGACTCAGAGCAGATGACTCTGCAGGGTGCACTCCCCGGGGAGCTGCTGGGGTGAGCGGGGCTCAGCGAGGCCAGGAGCCCATCTGTGTGCGGGAGGTGGCTGAAGCCATCTCCAGAGCCCTCAGACCGGAGGAGGTCACTAAGCTCCGAGTGAGCAACTGTCACTCCACACCCCTGAAATCCATAAGCAGCCTGGAAACCTAAAGGCTGTCATTAGGAATGATAAAAACAGTAATTAGAGCCGGGCTGTGAGGAGTTCACACCTGGAACATCAATAGAGGCGTTTACCCAGCAGCAGGAGAGCGCTTCCCCCAAATCCCTGCTCTGTGGATGCACCAGGGACAGAGCTCCACGGACCACTCCTCACGCAGGCGTAAGTAAATTCTGCAGGGAGCCTTGCAAACAGGCTTTACCCAGCACAGCAGCAGCTCCCAGCTTTGAGGGATCCAAAAATGCTGCTGTTACAGGAGCTACATCAGCTCCTGGGCCGTGGGCTCTGCCTGTCCTGATCCCAGTCCTGGTGCTTCACTGGGACTCAGCTGGGTGCTCAGTGGGCTGCTCCAAGGAGTTAAACCTTCAAAACACACAGATCTGGGGACAAGCAAGCTGTGCCAAGGGGTTAGACCTTCAAAACAATGCAGATTGGAATACGAGAGAGCTGTTCCATGAACTTAGCCTTAATTACCTCTTGTAGAGCTCTGAGCAGCCACCACACTATAAAGCAAGTGAAAACCCACACTTTTATTTCTTTATGGCATCACAGGTGGAACAGCTTAAGTTGGAGTGTCCTTAACAACAATAACAACGGCAGAGAAATACAAGGATGGTTGAAAGCAGCTTTATTTAGTGAAAGTCTGTACAGAGCCAGGGAGGTTCCTGCTGCAGTACAGCAGCTGTACTCCTCACTGCCTTCCCAAATGGCTGCTTGGTTTGCCAAACCCATTTCTCTTCAAAATGTTAATAGATGACATTAATTAAAACATGAGCCAAGCTTAAAGGAAAGGTTTTCCTCATCCAAGCTCTTCTCAAGTTTTATTCTCTTGGCCTCTGCCATGTTGGCACTGACTGGTCACTGAGGGTTTACCCTGTACCAGCCATAAATCACACCTTGTTTCATCTGTTAAAGATAGATTGCCACCCCTCCATCCTGTGAGGAGCTGAATCAGCAGGGAGCTGCACCCACAGAAGCACAGCCCAGGAATTTTTCACTTCAGGACTGGCCTGATGGTTCCTTCCCTCACAACGCAGCTGCTGAAGGACTCAGGTGAGTTTGGTCACCCACAGGTTGCTGGAGCAGGTGAGGGGCTGGCACAGGTGCCATCCCCAGAGTGGGCCAGGGAGCAGTGCCAGAGCAACGAGCGCAGGGTCAGGAGCTCTGTCCCCAAAGTCAGAGTCCTTTTAGCTCGTTGGGACAGACAGAAATAGGCCTGAAAGCACATTCCCCAAGTGGCCTAATTTCCCTGCCCTCACACAATGTTCTCTTTCCTCCTCAGCACCAGGATATTTGTTTTATTTTAGGATTTAAGAGCTTACAACCTTTATCAAAGGACAAAGGTGCTCAACAATTGACTGTAAGATTTTTTTTTTGTCTTAAGTATTGCAATTAAGGAGCAAAAGCCAGCCCAGGGTAACAAAGCCAGGCAGGTTAAACATCCCCATCACACAAGTCTCACCCAGAAAACCAGCAGAACAGCCCCCAAGGAAATAATCCTCCCATTCCTGCTGTCAGCTTTCCTTCTCTAAGTACTTGAAAGTTCCTCCCTGAACCAGGCTGTTGTGTTCAAATAGAAAAAGGTCAGGGTGACACAGAAAGGGTTTAACTTCCTCCCCAGCACTGGATCTCTGACCTGGATGACATTCAAGGTTGTCAAGGAAGCAGTTACAGACAACTATATTTAGGAAATGAAAACATGTATTTCCCCTCTCCTGTGCTCAGAGGCCAACCCTCACCTGCAGCGTTTGCAGGGAGCTGTCACAAGAAGCTTAATGGAAAGGAAGCCAAAAAAACCCCAACCCCTTTCTTTTCACTGGTTTAGTAGGTCTTACAGAGCAGGGAGATGGGTAGAGATAAAAAGACTAAGCCTAAGTGGAGCACAGGACCAGCTTAGCAGGCTCAGAATAAACCTCTCTCCTGCTGTTATTTAACAGCAGAGCTGGCCACGTGCTCTGAGGCACTGCGTCCTGCTGAGCCCAGCACACACAGGGGGGGTTCTGTTCCTGGGGCTGTGGCCCCCAGCACCCCAGAGCTGTCCCTCAGGTGTGTGACCCCCTGCACGTGCCAGAGGAGAGATCCCAGTTCCAGCCCCGCTCCTGGCACAGGGGGTTAAACCCACAATGTTCCAGATGAGCTCATGGCAGAGCTGCTGCCTGCAGGCTTCCCCATGCTGGCAACCAAAACAACGCGTGGTGACAGCTCTGCCACCCACGGCAGGGCTGGGACCTGCTCCTGGCCGGGGTTCCTGCCTGGAATTGGGTGCCTTGGTGACACACAGGGGCTGGGACACTGGGTGTGGTACAGAGAGCGGGCACACAGCACAACAGGGCCGTGCTTTGGGCTGCATGAACCCCAAAGTCATCCCTTCTCACCTGCCACTGCCCCAGGTGCTCCCAGCCCCGTCCAGCCTGGCCCTGGGCACTGCCAGGGATCAGGGGCTGCTCTGGGCACCTCTGCCAGGGCCTGCCCACCCTCACAGGGAACAATTCCTGCCCAAACTCCGCCTGTGACCGATGGGTCCCAGCCTGTCATCAACCAGCACCTGGTCAAGCAGCCGTTCCTGGAGCGCTCCAGGAGGATGAGGGAATCACTGACATTGCCCAGCAGGAATGACCTGTTTGGGAGACGCTCAAAGCGCGTTTTTAGGAGGCACCACCCTGCACGTAAAAGCTGCACAGAGCGTTTCGGTGTTGTGTGAAAGGAGCCCCAGAACCTGGCGTGGGCAGGAGCGAGCAGCTGGGCCAGCGTGTCCGTGTCCCTTCCAGGGGGATCCCCCGGCTGTCTCCCACCATGGCAGCTGTGTCACTCCTCACTGTCCTGCCGGGACACGGCACGCACGGCACCGGGAGCTGCCGTGGGGATGTGACGGAGGAACGGGCCCGGAGCGGACCCGAGCGCTGTGTCCGTGTGCCGCTGGAGCAGGGGTGCCCCGGCACCTCCCAAACCGGCGCCTTGTCCCAACACCGATTTCCGGGCACACCGGTGCTCCAAGTGCCAACACCGGCAGCATCGACCACCGCCCGGTACCACTGCCAACCGGGAGTGCCCGTTCCGGTGATCCCACAATGCCGGGGCAGCGCGGCGGGCCCGTTCCCGGGGCCTAGCTCAGCCCGCAGGTCTCTGTGGGGCCTATCCCGGTCCCGGTCCCGGTCCCGGAGCTCGGTACGTCCCTGCGGGCCAGTTCCGGTACCGGTACCGGTCTCGGTCTCGTTCCCGGTTCCGGTCCCGCTCGCGGGGGGTCCCCGGCCCCTCCCTCCCCCCGCAGGCCCCGCCCCGGAAGCGCCGCCCGGCGCGCGCAGCCAATGGGCGGCGGCGCTGCCGGGACACGTCGCGCGCGGCCGCGCTCCCGTCACCCCCCGCGCGCTCGCCGGGGTGGGAAGGGGGGGGCGCCGCGGCTCCTCCCCCCACCCCGGACAGCCGCGCCCGCCAATCAGCGGCGCCGTCTCATCGGGCCAATGAGCGGCGGCGTCTCAGCGGCGCGCGGGGGATGGAGCGCGCGGCCCGGAGCCGCCACGGCGCGCGCCCCCCGCGCTAGGGCCGGACCCCGGGACCCCCGGAGCCCCCAGAGGCGCCCCCAAATCCCCGCCAGCCCCCGCTCTATGCGGCGGGGCCGGCCGAGCCGCAGGCCTCGCTCCGCCGCGGGGCTGCCCTTGGCCCGCTGAGCGCCGAGCACCGGTAAGCGCGGGCGGGTGGCGCGGGGGGGGCACCGGAGCGCTGCAGACACGGGGTGGAGGGCAGAGGGGCCGGGGGCCTCCCGGAGAGAGGGGCTGCGCGGCCGCGGGGGGCACCGGGAGCGGCACCTGGAGCGGGGGGGGCCGAGGTCGGCGGGGGGGCAGCGGGCCGGGGTGGGGGATGGACGGGGAGCACCGGTAGCGGTGGGAGGTGGGACCCGGTGCGGGCTGGGAGCGGCGCGGGGTCGGCTCGAGGGGAGGAAGCGCCGCAGCGCGGGTGGGAAGAGGACGTTGGGATTTTGGGGGGCGGCGGAGGAGGTGAGCGGCTGCGGGGGGATGGCGGGGGTGGCGGTTCGGAGGGCCGCGGGGGGAGCCCCGGGGCCGGTCGCTGTTTCGGGGTGCGCAGGCTCGTGGGGAGCCGTGGGAGGAACTCGGAGCTCCGAGCCGAGCCCGCAGCACGGGCACCCCCCCGCCCTCCGGACCCCGGTTTTTGGGGTGGGGATGTTTTTTTCGCAGGGGTGTGGGGTGGGGGGGAAATGCGTTTTGGGGTGAGCGCTGCGCTGGGAGGAACAATACCAAAAGTTGTCTGAAATGGTAATTTCCGTTTCCCATTTCATCATCCCCGGGTAGGCGTTAGCCCTGCCTGTGTGTGCGCAGGGCCGGGGCCGCACCGAGCCCAGCCGGCCCCAGCCCCGCCGCTTCCATTTATTTCCCAGTTTAATCTTTAAATCGCTCCGTGATTCTGTCCTCCGAGGAGCCTTTGTGTGCCGGGGAGGGGCTGCTCGACACCTTTGCCCCTTAGCAGAAAGGAAGAGAGGGAGGAAAAAAAAAAAAAAAAAAAAAAAAGAAGCCCAAACAGCTGCAGCCCAGGACGAGCCTCCCCCAGGCCGGGAATGGATTCGTGTTTAGAAAGGCAAATGACCTCGGAGGGAGCGGGGATGAGGCGAGCCCTCGGTGCCCTCTGCCCTTTCCCAGAGGGAGCAGCTGTCCGGGCTGCGCGGCTCAGAACGGGCCCTTCATTGAGGCACAGGGGCCGTGTGTTTACGGCTTGGCTTCTCCTCCGGGCTCGGGGATGTGTTTTGATATCCAGTTGCAGGAAAGGGTTCCTCCCCCCTCCTGGTTTTGTACACAAAGTGCTCTCTCACCACTGGGGACACGGCTCTATAGGCAGAGAGCGAATTCCAGGCGGCTCTTGAAGCAAAATTCCCTCCTGAGATGGCTTCTGAAATGGGGTACACACATCATTTTTACCCTCTCTGTAGGCAAAGATTTTTAGGTGAAAACGTCTGTGCTGCCTTGTAGCTGTGTGCTTTCCTGAGGTTTATATAATTTTAAGGAACTTGGAGTTCAGTGTATTTCTCCTTTGTTTTGTTCATAAAATGGAACATTTTTATGTAATGACTCCAATTATTTCCTTTTTCTGTGGGGGGAAAACCACTCCACGGAGTCATGGAGAGGGAAAAGGAGATTAACTCTCACGTTTCCCAACAGCATCGATGCATTCTTTGTGTGTGCCCTACTAAGAGCTCAATATTTAACTTGATTAACTTAAAAACGAGAAAAGTTGGCGTTTTCAGCCTGGATTTTCTGGCAGATTCCAGGTTGGAGTAGTGTGAGATGGCTGTGGAGGGGTTTGGAACGTGCTGTGGCTGGGAAACTCTGGCGTTTGCTTCCAGAGCTCCGTGCCCTGTTTTGTGTCCGTGGGAAGCGCTCGGCAGGGCAGGGGCTGCCCGGGAGGGGTGGGCGAGCTGCGGGGCTCCGTGCGAGCCCGTCCGGGGCTCGGAGGCTGCTGGGCCCGGCTTGTGCCGGGCTCGGCCCAGGGCTGTGCCGGGGTCGGCGGGGCCGGCCCCCGGGTTGTGCCGGGCTCGGCGGGGTCTGCTCGGGCCTCGGGAGGTGCCAGGCTCGGCGGCGCTCGGGCCCGGGTTGTGCCGGGCTCGAAGGCTGCTCGGGCCCGGCTTGTGCCGGGCTCGAAGGCTGCTCGGGCCTCGGGAGGTGCCAGGCTCGGCGGGGCTCGGCCTTGGCCCGCAGCAGCTCCGGGTCCCGCTGGCTCCGGGAGGGCTCCCCGGTGCTCCGGGAGCTCTCGGGCCTGCCGGGGCACATCCAGCCTGCAGAAGGGCTTTGCTGTGAACCCGTCCGGCGAGCCGGGGCTTGTGGCACCCCGGGCTATGTGAGTCAGTGGAGGGCTCGGCCTGCCAAACTCGCTGCAAACCGAGCTGCCCGTGCAGCAGACAACGCGCAGGGCTGGAAAGCACGGCCACCCTCGGTTCCCAAGGCTGTTTTTGACTCGTTCCTGGTGTAAACAGTGACCGGGGAGCCCCGGCCATGTCGGCGCTGGCTGGAAACTGGAGATGTTGTGTTTCGTGTTCCACACTTGGTTCTGCTGCTCGGTTCTGCTTCTGCTTTTAGAAATGAACTCTTGTCTGTTTCTCCATTTCATAAAAAAGCATGGTTCAGAGTGAGCTGATTTTTTTTTTTTTTTTCTCCTCCGTGGGCAGCTTTTTGTTTTTGTGATGTTGCAACAGCATTTTCTCAGACTTAAACCTGCAGATTGTCCACTTTGAGGGCTGGGTTTGGATGGGGGAGGAAATGTTAAAAAAAAGCCCCAGAGCAAAAACCCTTTGGCTTAATTTCTTCCTTCGTGTGTGGTAGGCAACCTGATAAGATTATTTTATTTTCCACTCGTGTTTTAGTGGACTGAGTCCCCCCAAATGCTCGTGAACAAAGCCAAGCGTAGCACGGCGTCGTGCCGCGTTCTTCCGCTGCTCAGCAGAGCAGACAAATGCATTTCTCTGGGGTCAGTGAGACTCTTCGTGTTAATCAATACTGTACCAGCAGTGTTCCCTTTCCAGGGAACCAGATGGGCTGCTTACAACTGGTGCTGATTATTTTAACTGTGTAATTGTAACATGGCTGCGTGATGACAGTGTTTCCTGCAGACACTTCAAAGGAAGGTTCCCGACGAGTGTGTCTTTACAGCGTTTAATCTGTCCTCTTTGTCTTTATGTTGTGGCTTTTGGACATGTGTTTGAAGTACTAAGAGGTTTTTTTTCCCCTTACCTCCAGCTTTTCTATACATTAAAAGGAGGCAGTGCTCTGGAATGATGAAGTGTCTCCAGTGTGGGAATAAACCCAGGGTTTTAGCGGCTCCCACAGCGGTGGGTTGGATTCACTGAGTTTTAGATCCAGGCAGTGACTAAGCCAAAAGCTGGGAAGAGATTTAAGTGGCTGTGAGGAAATGGCAATATTTTTTTTTAAATAGTGCATGTGGCTTTGTTTTGGGGAAAATATGTTGTATGGTGACTTGAGTCTTAACTGGGACAGGCTAATTACTCGGTGAAGAAATCCTCCTCCTAGGGAAGGAAAGGCACAGGGCCGGAGCTGGTTAATTACATTTTGTAAAATTATGGAGTGACGGCTTTCTGAGGAGGTCTGCCCCTCTTCCTGCCCTGTACCTGAATTTCAGGCTCAGCAGTTGCCTTACGGATTGAAATTCCTCCTGGGTATTAAGATTTAATGGTGGCAGACCCAGAGCAAGTAGTGGCAGGTACTGCTGCTTTTCAGTACAGCAAAGCAAATAATACTGGAAAATATTTACATGGGGGTTGTTATTCTCCTCCTATTTCCTTGATGAGCTCTAGTAAAGGTGCCTGTGTGCTCCTTGCATTGCCGGGGAGAATTCCCTGTATTTCGGTTGTAAAAGGCTGCGGAGAGGAACCGGTGTCTCCATAGCAAAGATTCCAGTGTTTCGTGATCAGCTCACATATATTTTTACCCCATCTAATTTAAACCAGTCTGCACGACACTCACAGGAATGATTTGTATGCAGCTTTTAAATATTTTCCTCCTTCCTGCGTGAGGGATTAGCGGCACAGAGCTGCTTTTTCGGAGGGTTCTCAGCCAAGTGTTACGTAATTTGTGTGCCACCGATGCACGGCCATAAAAAATACTCCCATCAATGTTGGGGGAAAGCTTGTGTAGGCAATTATTTCAAATCACAGGCGTCCTAAGCAGGTTTGTGCAGCCTTAAAATCTGGGCAAAACGCTGCCTTTGGAATCCTGCTGGGAAGGGGGGTGGGAAGCTGTCAGCGCCCGTGGTCTGGAGGCTGGTTTTGAGCACATTCTACTCCACTTTTTAAGCTTCCCTGTGTGAGAACTGGTGTTTTCTGGTGTATTTTCTCAGGGAACCGTTGGGTATTTAAAAATCGTAATTTCTCTGAGTCTGGGTGGTGGTGCTTCAGCTGAGGCTGCTTATGGGTGATGCCAGTTTGTAATCTTTTATGAGAGTAAGGGGGGGAGAAAAAAGTAAAAAGAAGCTTAAATGCTAATAAGAGTGAAAAATGTGCTCGGTGTGGAGAGCATGTGAAGAGAGCGGGCGCACGTCGGGCTGTGGAGTCTCCGTCAGCTGAGCTGGGGGCTTTTAAAAATCTGCTCTAATTTTTATGCTGCATGTGGAATGGCTAATCCCATAAAAGCCTCGCACCTTTTGACAGATGAAACGCTGCTGTTCTTCACTTATTTGAGCAAAATATTTTTATAGATGGTATTAGCTCTGTGGCTCCGAGGGTAATGCAGTCCTTACACGAGAAAGATCGTGCTTTGATCTGACAGCTTTCAAGATCCATTTCCAATCTTGGAGTTCCATTAAGTCTGTTTGTAATGGTGCCCTCAGACTTTTTTTTTCTGTTTATGTGACTCTTTGGGTGTTAACGTTGCTCTGTATCTGAGTTTTCTTTAATAAACTGAAGGAATAATTGGGGTCAGGAAAGGAAATAATCGTGTTGGAAAGTGCAGTTAATTATACCAGGTATTTTGGGCTGCAGAATTCTTTCTCTTGATTCTAATGTTTTCTTCAAGTTGTAGGATG